TAGCATGTGCTCTTGGCACAGCTACTTATTGATTGATTTGGTATTCTTTTCCAAATTCTTAAATATACCAGTTAACATTTCTGTAAAATGTTGTTCAGTATGGAGCATTTTGAAATTTTTTTACATTTTTTGCTGTTTCCATGGCAACGGTGGCCATTTTGGAAATTCCAAAGTCTAAAGTCTCATCTTCATATACTCTTTCTATAATCATGATAAGAGTTACTTGGCTTTAGCAAAAGGGGGCCTCATAAGGTAAGTGGTCTTAATAGTTTATCTACAGTAATCACTAGCCTGTCAACACTGAGGTTGTGTCAGTTCAAACCCAACTCGTGGCAAGTTTGTTCAACTTTTTTTTCTTAATTATGATGTCCAATTTTCCTATTGAAGGTATATGCATTGTTTTGTATGGATACTCCCACTTCCTCAATCAATATAAAAAAAAATTGCCACAATGATATATCTAATAGCCCTGAAATTAAGTGGCATTAAAGTCCAATATCAATCAATCAAAAATGATCATGTTTCAGCAAAGATTTTAGGACAAATAAAGTCTGCTAAAGTCGTTTTTTGTCCTAAACAATAATGATTAATTACATAATGATTAAGGTAAATTTATATAACAAAGTTTTTCCCTTAAACATGACTAATTGATTATTTTGTTTTCCAAACTTGGAGGTTTTCACAGTTTAATTGACTTGCATTTTAAACAAAGCATTCTCAGTTTTCTTCAGTTTATATAACTGCCCTTAGAACAATATCTGTTTGTTTAGTTTGATGTTAGAAGATTTTTATCTTGATTAAGGTATATATACAGGGTGTCGATTGTAATCGTTATAAATCTGGCACTGTGCAGCTGCATGTCTTTCATTTAAACATTCTTCAGGTAAGTGTAATAAGTTATTAAAAGTTGAAAAATATAGGAACCGGGTAATATACTTTTATTCAATGCTTAAAGTCATTGAACATAACATACTTCTGGTTTGTTGTAGAATTGAACCCCAGAAGTATATTAGTATTTTTTATGAATTACTCTCTTAATTTAAAAAAAAAATGTGTGTAAATTTTATAGATAATGCATATTTTAAGGTTTTTCTTGTCGTATAAAACGCTGAGGGGTGTCAGGATTGATCAAATGAAAGACCGACCATAGGCAATTTCGCTGACACCCTGAGGCGTGTTATACAACAAATATTAATATCTGCAAAGACTTGCAGGATTTGCATCCTATTTTACCGACCACACTAAAGTGGGATATTCTTTTCTAATGCTTTCAGGTTTTAATACGCTCTATGGCTCATTTATAATGTGAAATAAAACTTACTACCGGTAATTAATCTAGATATAAACTTTAAAAATCTTTATCCAGGCACAATAAAAATATATCTGTAACTGCAAGCAAATTACACTGCCCGATAACAATGTATGAAAAATACAAGTCACTTTGTAAGTAATATATTGTACCAACTTAGTTGATGAAAGTGGATGCTATGTTTTTTTTCTCTTTTTTTGATGAAATTTTATTGCAGAAAATGCGCTTTTTTTTTAAACTTTTTTGAACAAATTGAACTTAATTCAGAATAAATTTCTTTTGAATGGCAATACAATTTTTTTTTTAAACTGAGAATCAGGATTTAATTTTATACTCCCCAACCCCATTATAAGTACTAGGCTGTTATTCTATAGAAAATAAGAATATTTGGTCATTTGATCATTTGATAGAGTGAAAGGTATATACATGTATAGATGTAAAAAGTTAAGAACTGGCACGAAGAGATCAAGAAATGGGGATGCATGTACATGTAACACGAAAAACGAATAACCATACATGTAGGTCAAAGTATGATTTCCAATACAGTGTGAATCAATAAGATTTTCAAAATCCTACACACAAATGTGTTAAATCTGGTTTAAAGCTTGTTTTAAGAGCCTTGTGAAAAGTTTTTCATTATTAAATTCATCTCACATAATGACTCCCTTTTATTGCAATGATGAATTAACAAAAATTCTAAATATTTGTTTCGAAACTTCAAATGTGTGTGAACAACGATTTGTTTGATCAGTCTAATAAACGGAGGAAAGGAGTCATCATTGATTCTGCCTTATAAACCTATCAAAGATGAGAATTAAAAAGTAAACCCCCCAATTGGCAACAACACATGATAACTATCAAATGAATTAAATGTTTAAGTAAATTCAACTAAAGTATTGCTATTCTAATTTCAACATTTGCATTACTATCAAAATTACATACAGGCTAGGAGAGATGTCTCTGGGTCAACAGTAAATTGTAAGTAGACAAGCACCCACAGTCCCCACAAAATCATTAATCTAATTAACCACCATTTTTTTCGATTTACCAATTTTATTATTCATGACACAATTGCATGTTTAAAACCTCTTTGTAGCAGATATTTAAAATTCTCTCTAAGATGGTTTAGACGGATAACATCGATTTAAACATTTACTTTAGGAATAATGAAAATAATAAAAAAGAAACTCATTAAAAAGTTCAGATTGAAAGTGTATTGATTTATATTAAAGTTTAATAAGACTTTTTGAATTATAAATGTATCATTTTGTAGCTAAGATTTCACTTTATTGAGAACATGGTTCATGTTGTGCATGCCTCATTGTTCTCATGATTAATTCATATAAATCATCTACGTGTAGAAATTCTAAACCGAGTGATCTTTTGAGTATTTTGAAATTTTTTGGTTAATATAACTTTGGATTCAATTTTTCATTTGTAACAATTTTTGGGTTGGAGAAAAAACATATATTTAAATTTATTTCATGGTTTTATCATTTGCCTTTATACACTGTATAATGTTTAACTAAAATTTGTATTTCATCAAATATTTATTAATTTGTGATTTTCCTCTAAAATAAAATCAATGAAAATGGCACACTGGTAACATAAAAAGAAGCCACTGTACTGTACCTAAACAGAAATAAGATTTGCATTTTTATAAATGTTTATAAATTTAATGACTATCTGGTTCACATTCCAACGATTGTTTTTGTAGGCAAACATGTACATGATGTAGAACCACATGCATTTAATTTGCAGAAAAGAGTGATAAGTCTTTATGTAAAATATGATTATAAAAAATTCATTAATTTATTTCACAGAAAAAAGTCATAGTCTTTAAATTATATATGACTATAAAAAAGAAGAGTAATCTCCCCTTGATAAGTTTCTATAACATGCATTCTGAAAAGATTAGATTTCTTTGTATTATGTCATAGTTGTCTAAATACCCATAACATTTAATTAACAAGTATGTAACATAGATATTGAATTGGAATAATATTGATTTTTATAAGTTTTGTAATGATATGATTTATAATTTATCTAATTAAAGTTATCAAATTAATATTTTGTTAAAAATCATAAACTCTCATGCAATTGACAGTTTGAGATTAAGTTTCAGCTTAGTGACAAGTGTGAATGATACTTCAAGCATAACTCAGACTTGTTGACATAATGTTTTTAACAAATAATAAAGAACTAGAAAAATTCAGAAGTGCTTTTTTAATAAAAATAAAATCAAGATTTAATAATCGTCCAAAGAATTATGTTTTAACAGTCAATCAAAAATATGATAATTATGGATATATTTATGATATGAAATTTTTGTTTCTTTCAAAAATAATTGATTGTGTTGAATATGATTAGTTATTTGAAGTTTAGATTTCAGATTGTTCAAGTTTGAACATTATCATAATCATTGTACGTTTTATATTTGTCATCGATACGTAGTTGGAGCATTTTAAAAAGAATTTTAATTTTAATAAATTCATTGATAACAAATTGCCTTTTTTAAAGAGTTTTAAATGAGACTTTTATATAGATATAAACTGTTGTGCTATTAACATTTATTTGTTATTAAAGAAATGTACCAAGTGGAAATTCTTACAGATTTAGCAAATGGTTATATACCTGTATAGATGTATCCAAATTTTGGTACAGATTTCTTATTCATGGATTGAGGCCACTTTATTTAAGGTTTCTTTTTATAATTATCTGGAGTCTGAGCTTTTACAGAATTTTACAGGATCACTACTTCATGCAGTTAATTAAATTGTTTCATGAATTATTTAGTTTAATTCTTTTTTGCTGATTTTACATCAAGATTGACACAGACATGTATAAAAAATTTATGGTTGATTAAATTGCGTCTTTCATCAATTTTGACAGTCACCAAGGTGATCTCATTTTTTAGGAGCCATCATGTGATAAGTTGCTCATTAGGTGGCCAAAACATTCACATTTTCAGTGATTATGTGATATCTTAAAATTGAATTTGAACAGTGTAGAGGACAGTGTAGAGGACAGTTCAGTGTATATTAATTCTGATATGTTTTACAATTTGATGGAATACTAAGTTACATTTACTGGATTGATATTAAGGTTGAGCATGTGGATTGTATCATTTTTGTATGATGTGGGATTTTAGTATTCGACACAGATTTCTAATAGAAACTTTAAGTTCTGTTTAAGATTATAAAAATGAAAACCAATACCTGATTTAGTATTGACTTTAAAATACAGTTCAAACTACTTGTATGTAATTTTTCCGTTTTATTTATTTATGATAAAGTATTCCTTGGATTTTAAATTTAGTGTTTTAGGTCATAGAGTCGTATTGAAATTAATAAATGAATTTAAAAAGTGACGATTGTGTCAATATAGATTGGAAACAATATTTTAGATTATATCTGAGACATAGAGACTTCAATATCAACCGTCAAATGTGATCAATACGTTAAATATTCAAATCAGAAACATATGTCAATTGTATTAACTAAAAGTGTTTGTATATCATATATAAAATGCATGAATGATGTTTACAAAAAACATTGCATTTAGTAACATTGAAGTGATATACTCTACAAGTTTATGTGGAAATACTTTTGAATTCAAATCATACTTGTAGATAAATAAGCATAGATATTTATGTTTTGACAGTTGGTTCAAGGATGAAAATATTAGAAGTCAAACATGTTATGATTTAAGAAGAAAAAAAAAACAAGTTTAAAATTCTATTCAAGGATTTGGAGGATGTAAAATTGATCTTTGTAAATAAAACCTATAATGTTGTGTATAAAGAAATTCATAGTTTGTGTTAAAGATGTGAAACTATTTGAAAGGAGATAACTGATTAATTTTTTTCATGTTGGAAAAAAAAGACATTTTTTTCCGTATTTGAATTACCTGTTCTTATTCTGAATGAGATTTTGATAGAGCCTGTGTTTAGTAAAGAAAGATTTTTGATGGTGGATTGCTGTCTCAAACCTATTAACCCTGCATCTTCTGTTTTTAACTTGAGTAAACTGTGTGAGACCACTTTATAATGAAGTCAGATATATAAGATGTTACCAATTTTTACGTTAACTGGGATATAGCAGTAATTCTGAGTGTAACTGTAAAAATGACTTCAGCTGCAGTGCTGCCACCTATCCACCTCCATAATTTAGGGAGGTCCCATACTATGTATGAGAGCAGTAACAGACAAACAGTATTACAATACGTTACTGGTGTACATATGTGAGTATTCATGATTGGACCAGTGCTGCCACTTTTCCACCTCCATAATTTAGGGAGGTCCCATACTATGTATAACAGACATACAGTATTACAATATGTTACTGGTGTACATATGTAAGTATTCATGATCGGACCAGTGCTGCCACCTATCCACCTCTATGATTTAGGGAGGTCCCATCTATGTATGAGAGCAGTAACAGACAAACAGTTTTACAATATGTTACTGGTGTACATATGTAAGTATTCATGATCGGACCAGTGCTGCCACCTATCCACCTCCAGAATTACTTAGCCTACTAAGGCTCATAATGAAATTTTTTATTTTATGTTTGAAATGCTTTGATTTATGAATTGTTGTAATTTTTTTATCATTTCAGGTCCAATTCAACAGCAGCAGGAATGGTAAAAGCAATTTTTGACTAATGTGAATCAGTAGATTATCTCCCCTCATTATTTTTTATTTCAGATCTTCACCATCAAGCTACAACAGATCTTCCTACAGTAGTTTAGGGGCCTCATCAGTAGATTATCTCCCCTTTTTATTTTTTATTTCAGATCTACACCATCAAGCTACAACAGATCTTCCCGTAGTAGTTTAGGGGCTTCATCAGTGGATTATCTCCCCTTTTTATTAGCTCACCTGGCCCTAAGGGCCAAGTGAGCTTTTCTCATCACTTGGCTTCCGGCGTCCGTCGTCGTCGTCGTCGTGTCCGTCATTGTTAGCTTTTTACAAAAATCTTCTCCTCTGAAACCACTGGGCCAAATTAAACCAAACTTGGCCACAATCATCATTAGGGTATCTAGTTTAAAAAATGAGTCCGATGACCCCGCCAACCAACCAAGATGGCCGCCATGGCTAAAAATAGAATATAGGGGTAAAATGTAGATTTTGGCTTATATCTCTGAAACCAAAGCATTTAGAGTAAATCTGACATAGGGTAAAACTGATTATCAGGTCAAGATCTATCTGCCCTGAAATTTTCAGACAAATCTGACAACCTGTTGTTGGGTTGCTGCCCCTGAATTGGTTTTTTTAATGAAATTTTGCAGTTTTTGGTTATTATCTTGAATATTATTATAGATAGAGATAAACTGTAAACAGCAATAATGTTCAGCAAAGTAAGATAATAGTCAATTTTTAACAATTTTTCGTAAATTTTTGTAATCTTTTACAAAAATCTTCTTCTCTGATACTACTGAAACAAATTTAACCATACTTGGCCATAATCATTATAAGGGTATTTAGTTTAAAAAATTTGTCCGATGACCCGCCTTCCAACCATCATGGCCGACTTGGTTAAAAATAGAACATAGGGGTAAAATGCAGTTTTTGGTTTATATCTCGGAAACTAAAGCATTTAGAGGAAATCTGACAGGTGCCAAAATTGTTTATTAGATTTAGATTTATCTGCCCTGAAATTTTCAGACGAATCTGACAACCCGTTGTTGGGTTGCTGCCCCTGAGTTAGTAATTTTACAAAAATTTTGCAGTTTTTTGTTATTATCTTAGATATCATTATAATATCTACCGTAATATCTAATACTATTAATTATGATTTTTTACCTTGTTTTACATGATTTTCAAAGCATCAGTAAATACAGGTGAGCGACACAGGCTCTTGAGAGCCTCTAGTTTCAGATCCACACCATCAAGTTATAACAGATCTTCCCTCAGTAGTTGAGGGGCCCCATCAGTAGATTATCTCCCCTTTTTATTTTTTTATTTCAGATCCACACCATCGAGCTACAACAGATCTTCCCGTAGTAGTTTCGGGGCTTTATCAGTAGATTATCTCCCTTTTTTATTTCAGATCTACACCATGGAGCTACAACAGATCTTCCCGTAGTAGTTTAGGGCCTTCATCAGTAGATTATCTCCCCTTTTTATTTCAGATCCACACCATCCAGCTACAATAGATCTTCCCGCAGTAGTTTAGGGGCTTCATCAAGAATTAACAGACCAAGAACAGCTGCTGCAGTTTTAACTAATAATGAGTATGTAGAATATGTTGTTAAGTTACGTAAAGAAAGGCCAAGGTTACCTAAGGGACATTCAAAGTCAAAAATAAACTGACAACGCCATGGCTTAAAAGAAAAAGACAAACAATCAACAGTAAACAAAACAACATAGAAACTAAACACTGAGCAACATGAAGCCCACCAAAAACTGGGGGTGATATATATTTAATATACATGTACTCAAAAAACTGGGGGTGATATGTATTCAAAATACTCCAACTCTTAAAGTTAGGGCTACATTGCAATCACCGTGTCCGTCCGTTTATCTGTCCATTCATGATACTCTGTTCCTCCAAAAAATATTTTTGTCACACTTTTCTCAGAAACAATTGAACAGAATGAATTCACATTTGGTCATCAGCTTAGCAGTAATAAGTTGAAGTGAGTGAGCACTTTTTTGTCAGATGACTTACCGGTACTGTAAATTCAGAAATCATTGCAATATTTTAAGAAAACTTGTACACAAATGAGAGATTTATTATTGCGATTTCAGGAAATTCTGTATACAGTTATATGTATCCGATATCAAAATGATACTCAGTCGCATTATTCGCATGAATAAAAACCTCGCAATAATTTATGAATTTACAGTACCGTATTCCTGTTTGCCAATGTATTGAATTTCAATATGTTGACTGGACTACTAATATTTTCTCATGTTTCTCCAATTCAACTAAACAGAATGACTTCGAATTAAGTCAGCATCTCAAAAAAGATGAGTTGTAACATCTGTTCACATTATGCATCTATTTCCTATTTCCAATGCTTCGAAATTCAAGTAGGGGTATGATTAGCATGACAACCAAGGCATTCTTGTTGGTACCAATTTTAGTAGATGGATCAAGAAAAAAATGTTATTTTTGGATACTTCATTTTGTGGTATTGTAAAATTTTGTCTATAGAAATTGTATCTATTTGAACACCAAGATTCATGAAAATATGATTAGCATGACAATATAAAAATAAGAATATGTGGTATTATTGCCAATGAGACAACTCTCCACCAGACCAAATGACATAGAAGTTAACAACTATAGGTCACAGTATGGCCTTCAACAATGAGCAAAACCCATACTGCATAGTCAGCTATGCATGTATTCTTGTTAGAACAAATTTCTAATTGTTGAAGGCTGTACCACGGTCCATTATTGATTACATCTACATTATTTGGATTCTGGTAGATAGTTGTCTCATTGGTAATCATACTACATCTCCTTATTTTTATAGTGAATTGAGGAAAAATTGTTACTTGATTTTGAGGTATTATGAAATTCTGAAAAACATTTTATTTGAATACTCAGATACATATATACATCAAAATTTGTTTATCCGCAAAATTCACAATTAATCATCTGAAAGATATTCTATAGTATAGTTCGGCTAATTTATATTATGAATATTAACTGAAGAGACTTGTGACCCAATTTTTTTAGCAGTGACCGTTATGTCTAGGAGATTAAAAGTTTATACGATTATACCTATTAATTTTTATAACAGAGTTAATTCTGTTAGAGAGTTATTGTAACCAGTTTTATCCGATTAAATGATTAACTGGATATGGATAAAGTTAGGGTTATAGGTTTTAAACCAGAAGATCTAAGTCCATGTTCGCTTGTCCTACATTTCTTTTAATATGGCATTGTGTATATCTGAATCTGTACAATCATTCATATAAATCTATAGTACATTTGTACTTAAGTAAGTATATTGAATTATTTTCAGGTGTTTTTTTTCATGGTTTGGTCCTTAAGATAGGGCAGTTAAACATGTTAAATCTTCTCTGTGTTCATTTATTGTGTTTCATCACTTTGTACAGTACATTTTTAAAAATGAATAGTAAAATGTTGATGTAGGGTAAATTCCGCTGTGAATTGTCCTCAGTATAAAAATAACGAAATTAATTTAATTATATTTGAAAATTTCCCAATGTATGGTGGTATATTTAGGGTTTACTTCTTTTGTCATGTTAACAGGCCATGTAGAAAAATAAATTGAAAAAAGCAAAGATATTAAGCCATTTAGATGTATATCAATACTTGAATATATAAGATAAAATTAAGAATGGAAACGAGGAAAGTGTCAGAGAGACAACAACCCGACCATAGAGCAGAAAATAGCCCAAGGCCACTAATGGGTCTTCAACACAGCGAGAAAATCCTTCTCCCGGAGGCGGGGTTCAGCCTGGCCCCTTAAATATACAGATACCCAGTGTGTATATGCTGTGTCAATGGTTTTGTTTCTCACAGACATAATACCCCATATCTATTCTTATTTATATATTGTCAAAAATTAAACTACAAATAAAAAATTGAACACCTTATGATGTTTCATGGATTGGTTTCTCATCGACATATACCCCACGTCTAATTTTATTCATATTCAGAAAAATTCAAATTATAAATAAATGGTGGAAAAATAGAGAGAAAAGGGAAGGAAAAGGAAGCCTCATTTTAAATTATATAACTAGAATCAGTCAATTAACATATCAAATGACAGTTAAAAGGAATAAGCTACTTATTGTTCACTCACATGTATGTAATTTTTCAATCAAGTTTATCTCTATTTACATACATGACAATGCATGTTATGATTATATCTGTACTTCATTAAACTTTCTGTTTAAGGGTCTTTTAAAGTTTAATCTTCAATATAAATTCAAAAATTGTCAGTTCGTTTTACTGCCCAATGAGTTGGAACAATGATTTTGTATAAAAGGAGAGATTTATAAGCTAATATAAAACTTTTTGAATTTTACATATTTTTTCATATTAGATTTCATTATTTGATGTATTTTCATGAATAAATATTTTGATTCATAGCAGACTAGAATATTACTGTTTATTGCTATTAAAAAATCTAATTTAAGAAGTAGATATGTGTGTACAAAGGATATTAAAACATAGTTGAAAGAAAATGTTTAAGTTTTAATGCAAATAAGTTTAAGATGTTAAAGAAGGTTACCATCCCATTTGAGAATCCTGGTAAATTAGATATGAATAAAGGGAAGATTGAGAATCCTGGTAAATTAGATATGAATAAAGGGAAGATTGAGAATCCTGGTAAATTAGATATGAATAAAGTGAAGATTCATGTATATTGAAGATGCTGAAAATTTCACAGGAACTTCACCAACTTAACAATTATTGTTAACCACAATTTTCCAGCACCAAAGTTTTTGATTCATAATGTAGTGTCAATTTTGTCAAATATTCAGTTCGATAAGGCCTTAAAATGGCCCCCATTTCTAGCTACAATTTCAAATTAGGATTCATTAAACCTGCAATATCACTAGCAATGAATCATATAGCCACTACAATGACCAGTCAGGGGCGTTACTTAAACAAGTTATTTTTTTTAGTTACTTATATAGGTAATTTTTGTTTTTAAAAATTATAAAATTACTCAATAGAGTTATTTTAAATTTCAATAAAAGCATGGACTAAATGTAATTTTCGTGAATTTTTACTTAATTTTATATCATAAAATTAAGAATTTATTAAATTTGAGAGGAATATAGAGATAAAGGGTTACTTTAAATATAATGACAAAAATATTACTTGAATAAGTCATTTTATACATCTTTGAAAGAATTAGTAATAACACTTATTTAAGGAACACATGTAATTGTTTTGGGTTACAAATTATTAATAACTTCAAGTCTTGATTAAATCACAAGTTTCTAACTGTTTATATCTGTCTACCTTCAAGATTTTCAAGGAAAATGATATTTTAATAGTCCCGAGAGACCAATCTTTGACCCAGAAGCGTCGATATGAAAGTTAAGTTCGTCAGAAAGGCAATTAGTGTTTCAGAAGGATTAGATTTTATATTTCAAGGGAAAAATAACCAGATGACTGTGAAAATTTGTTAAAGCTAGTAGAATCTGTATTATTGGACACCTATAAAAATAATATTTAGAAAAGTTACTTATATAAGTAATATTAGAAATAGCCTCGTTTTCAACATTACTTGTATAGGTAATTTTAAAAGTTACTTGTTTAAGTAATGCCCCTGACTGATGACTATAGACAGAAATATTTCTTTTTGTTGAAAATTTATGTACTTGCGTTCTATTCATGACGTGACAAATAGCATTTATTTTGATTTTTCCACGAAAATTCAATGAAAGCGGGTAAATTTACATTGAATTTTGGGACAAGAAACAAAGAGCTCATGCATCGACAACAAAGATCTTTTCACATAATGTTTGTTATAACATTCTACATATCTTACTTAAAAATTTAGTTTGTCGACGCCTGCACTGTATGTTTCCTATGCCTTAAATTGGTAGAAATCTGGACAATTTTGTCAAAATTCGCCAAAATCTCTATTTGTGGCCTATTTTGGATGTAAAAATCAGCGCTTTAAAAAAATTTGAACAAAAAAAGTTCTATTTAACTTTCTCACTTATCAGCTTAGAACATTTTCTATCTTGAAGCATTATAAACTTATTAATCGGGGCCAGATATGGCCCATACCGAACTAACTCCTTTTGGAAAAACAAAGAATTTTAAGAATTGAAATAAAATAATTAATTAGAAAATTCATCTTTTTTACAGAGTTTGATGCCTTTGATGTTAAAACATTAATACCAATCCATTTATTACTTTATTTCTGTGGTTTGAGTGTGCAAGACACTGCAAGTAATTAAGTCATAGAATTTTGTAGAATTAAAAAAAAATTGACAGAAGCCTCATCATAATCAAGAAATACTGCATTAATGAATTAAAGAAATAAAGCTAGACTTTTGTTCAATTTTCCATCAGACCTTAACACTGGTAGCAATAATCACCTGCATAACTCAGGTTTAAGTAGAACCAATACAAAACTTGTGTTATTCTCATTGTGTATATATATATAAGAAGATGTGGGCCCCAAAAATTACTAGTGTAAAACTATTCAAATGGGAAAACCAACAGTCTAATCTATATAAAAAACGAGAAACGAGAAACACTTATGAACCACATCAACAAAGTTGAACAAACGACAATTACTGAACATCAGATTCCTATATTTCCTATAGATTTCTTGTATATATTTGTTGTCCAACAACTGCTCTTAATTTTTTTTGAATTAATGATAAGTATAAAAAAACAGTTTACATAGATTTTGAATTTTTTATGTATTTGTGTTTCAGATGTGACCGAGTTTCCCAGGTAGAACATGAACCAACGAGAAGACACAACTTAGAGAACCACATGCCACTCAAAAGAGCAAGACCTCCGCCATGGCAGAAAAACTTAGATGTAAGTATAATATTTAACTCAACAGCTATAAGAAAACACAAACAATTCAACCTATTAATACCTTTGCAATGGTAGAAAATGATCAGTAAAGAGCAATACATAAATAAAGAACAATAGAAAAAGAGCCTTAACATATTAGACCTCCATCATGACAGACAAACTGATTTAACTAAAACAGGATTCCTCAACATTTACAGAACAACACAATTAACTTTATCATATCAAACCTCTGCCATGTCATAAATTATTAACTTTTAAATGTTGGACTTATAATGAGTTGTTCCCAAGGAGGAAAACCACAAAAATCTGTTTAAATCCACAAAAAATATATTAACTTATACTTATAGATTATGGATGGTTTTTCAAATGAGATGGTGTTTCTCAGCTACAATCTCATCAAATGGTGACAGCCCTGAAATGAGATGTGGCAGAGAAACATCCTCTCCTTTGAAAGAACAGTGATAATCTGTTTATTGCTATTTTACCTATGACATTGTTGATGTTTACATTGACAGTGTCACATGTGCCCTTAGTTTCTTACGATAATTTTCTTTCTCAAGCGAGTAGCGTGATATGAAAAATTACCACAAAAACAGATCAAAGGAAAATTATGCAAAATAGCGATAAATAAGTTTTCTGATGTTTGTGGTACTTATAGTCAGGTTACTGTAGATTCATTATGATTTATGAAGTACCATTTTTGTGGATTTCGTTGGTATGTACATGAACCACAAATTTCAGGGATCAACGTAGCACTTTTTACCTATAGACTTATATACAGACTTTGGCAAAACTACGAAAGCTAGTTTCCTTGAAAATATACAATGTTTGTTCAATCCAAGAAAATTGATACCCACAAAATTATTTTTTTTATTTGTTTTTCAGTCGTCAGGCTTTTACAATCCCTGTACATCACCACCTGACTACGGTGTTAAGGGATTTGATGAATAAAACAAAATCTAAATAATTGACTGCATTTTTTCTACTTCTGTGAATACATATTATATGAATATTAACATTATAACAGAGGGGAAAAGAACAATCACACACACACATACACACACTCTTGCACTTGCATTTACATAGCATACATCAACTTGTGTATTGCAAAGAAAAATGTTATTTTTGTAAAGATCTGCTCTTTATATAATTTCAGTTTTTTATATGATTTGAATCAAAAGAAAATGTTACTAATCATTGAAAATGTAATCTACTGGGCCCAGAATTTTTGAAAAAATTGTTTAGTACCATTTTTCTTTGCTATAATGTTCATTTCCCTGATAATTTCTAATTTTTGCTCTTAGCTCTATACTACTCAGTTTCTTTTCAAATTACATTTGTATATATAGTTCTTTGCAGTTATAATCATAAAAAATAAATGAATCTACAATTTCATAATTCAACAATTGACTTATTCATAATCTGTTTACTTGTAATTTACTCATAGCCACCAATGGTACCGTTTGTTTGTGGACCAGGATATATCTTGTCCAGAAGTAAAACAAAGTTTGCCATGACAATCAAAGATGAATTCTTTGAACCTCAAGAAGAAGAAAGTGCCAGGTAACCATAACAACAGGTTTAGTGCCATGACAACCAACAGGTTTAGTGCCATGACAATAAAACTTGAATTATTTGACCATATGTTGGGTACAAACTTTAAGATCAAGTTTTTAAATATGGAAAGTCCAGTTTACCAAAATTTGCCATTTGACTTATTTTCATAAAAGAAATTGGGAGCATTTGAGAGCACAGTGTATGTGTGGGGGTTTAATTATTGAAGTTATTAGTATAATTAGATGTTCGGCAGTAACATTGACATAACATGTATTTGGTATCAGCACACACACCTTACCCAGCCTTATACACAGCTATATGCTTCAACACTTACCACTGGAAATTGTCTCATGTTTTTGTTATGAATTTTAATTAGTATATAATCAATGATAATTGATTTTTCTCAAGTTAAGTGGTTTAGTGTCTGTGGTCTTTTTTGCGTATACTTGCCACGACCTCTTTACCACAAACAACATATTTTTACAAAGTGTATTTTTGCATCCCAGAAAAATGTTTTTTTATTTAGTTAAAAATATAAATAGACTATCTGCTTCAGTCTACTAGACAAGTATTTTATTTTACATAGTAGATACATGTATATTGGTACTAAGCGTAAAACACTTGTTGGGTGAGTTATCATATTGTAATTGTATTGTCCTCAAATTTGACCTCTGATCTTTAGCTTTTCTCCCCTTTTTTAGCTCACCTGGCCCAAAGGGGCCATGTGAGCTTTTCTCATCACTTGGTGTCTTAAGTCCGTCTTTGTCTTCCATCATCCTTTGACTTTTACCAAAATTTCTCTGAAACTACTGGTCCAAAATTTAACCAACCTTGACCACAATCATAAGGATATTTAGATTAAAAATGTGTCAGATGACCCTGCCATCCAGCCAACTTGGCCCACATGGGTAAAATGCAACTTTTTCTATTATCATTTTTTTTTTTTGACTTATATCTTAAAAACCATAATAGATAGATGGAAACTTTAAAATGCAAAAATGATCTGCAAAACAAGATCAACAAATTAGTCAAACATGGCTGAAATTGTCATTCAACTCCTTATTGGAGTTATTGGTCTTTAATGATCAGCAAGACAAAACCTACAAATAAGTCAAATTTTGCCAAAATTGTTAGTTGACTTATTATATGAGTTATTGCCCTTAAATGATCATTTTTAAGTGGATTTTCAAAGGAAAATATCAGTTATTAGTTTGGTGATGTATGGCGGGCGGCTGGCCTTACAGGCGGCTGCCAATCAGTATCTGTGCAATAACTTGAAAACGCTTTGACGAAATCTTTTCAAATTCAAATATGTTGTTTCCTGTGACTAAGTGAAGGTCAACTTTGATTTTCATGATTTTAGCTTTTAGTATTGTTGAGTTGTAGAACTTTAAGTAGCGAAAAGTGATACTCAGATTGATTTTGGCCTTTCCGTTTCTGAACCCTACAAAAATTCATTTATTTTTTTTATTTGATCCTATTTGGGGGTCCAGATTTGCAAATATCATTTTCATGCAGGAAAATCCATGTTTGCTGACAGCGTCTTGTTCACCCTTTTTTGTGTTTTGGGCAAAATCTAAAGAAACAGGAGGAACTGTAAACAAAAACAATTTCAACAATTTGAAGATCAACAAAAGGAGATTTTTGTCATGAATTATAGTCTACAATGTTGAAGAGTGTCCATTGTTGGAAATACACATAAACCTAGATGAGCGACACAGGCTCTTTAGAGCCTCTAGTTTATTTTAAATGACAGATTAGATTCCTTAGAAATGAACATTTACTTAAATATTAACAAAAATGATTTGATGAATTATTAAGTTGTATAGTTCTGTAGTTTTACTAAACAAATTAAACAAACAAACAAATGAAAATCCAATAATGGATGTACATGTAATAAGAATTAAAAATTTTGTTTTACATCACAAAGTTTAAACAGATCTCATGATCATGAAGTTAATTGAAATATATGAAAAACTCCTGAAGTTTATAATATGATAAAACTAAGTTAGTTCACTGTCCGTCTAAATTATCTATGGTGAGTTGCTGTTAATCATTAGGAAAAATATGTTCACCACCTATCTTATATCTTGTGTGACTGTTTCATGGGTAGTTACATTGCAGCTCCTTCTGTATTTGTCTATATAAACATGTATTGTTGTATTTTATACAGTAATGGTTCAGAGTTCAAAATTTTTGCTATTGAGCTCAAACGTCTTTTTTGTAAATGATTGAAGAAACGATTAAAGTTTTAAAATTTTGTTTCTATTCATATTATATATATGTTTATAAACTTACTTACTTACTTAAGAGATAACTGTATTGTATTTGAAGCTTTGCGGAAGTCCATCAGTAGTTTTACTGTCTCAAATTGAGTTTACCTGGCGATGTGTATATGTAGTTATCTCTATTCTAATGCAAAATAAACAGATTATTCAATCTAATCATTAATTCGGTGTAAAATTTACGTTTAACGAAAATTCCGTGAAATGATGTTATCTTCTTTTGCACCTAAACTGGGTGACGTCATACGTATGCTTCCGGTGGTAAACATAAACACCAGGCATTTTCTAGCTTCTTGTCCGCCTTAGAATGTAATAAAATTGGATAAAAAGAAAATTTCAAGGTGCAAAATGTGAGTTTTTTGCTTATTATTGGAGAAATTACATGTCCATACAATTCTTAATGTCGGGGTCCCTTAGTAACAGACAGGGAGATAGAGATTTTATGCTGGTTGTCATCCAATCAGAACCATTGATACTAAATGATTGCATTAGAATAATTCATCATCTTTGAAGGTACTTTCAATTTAAAAATCATTGCAAGGTAAACTCAATTAGCGACAGTTAAACCTACGTTTTAATTGGGCCAAGCTAAAAATGCAATACATTTATGTCTTATTACTAAAATTATGCCATTTTACAATCTAAAAAACTTAAGGTAAAATCTTTGTTTTACCCTAAAATATAAATTGCTTTAAAATTTCGCTGTTTAGGAACTTACGAACTAATCACAAGGTTTTCGTGTACTCTTTTGAAAATATTACCCAGAATGCATTAGATTCTTAAATGGTGAATTACCCTGCTTGTTTTTGATTACATATACTTGCCAAACAATGTTTTTTAAGAGCAGAACCTTTAACATAAGTAATGACATCATAGATATTGTCTCTCAGGAAGAGTTATCTACCCTTTGATATGTGTAATTAATAACCAAAATGTTGTTTTCATTTAATGCAGTCCAGGGCCCAGGTAAGTGACAGAAACTATGATGCAGCTTTTCTTTTACTATAACAAAATCTTCACAAACAATGATAACAAATGCCCTCGCACCAGTGTATGCTATATGACTTTATATTATGTATACATTGTGTTAAGAATACATTTATATGCTGATGAGGAGTGTCTTTCTGTCTCAAAGATATTTTAAAAGAGCATAGAATTCTTTCATGCCATTTAAAGTAAAGAACATGTATTCTTCAGTAAAATATATTTAAGTAGATCAGTGAAAAGTAAAATAACAAAAAAAAAACGAACTCCAAGGAAAATTCAAAATGAAAAGTACTGTATCAAATGGCTAAATTAAAAGCTCAAACACATCCAACGAATGGTAAACAAATGTCATATTTCTGACTTGGTACTTGATTTAGATTAAAGCAATCAATTTATGTTTTTACATTTCTTATAATTTTTTTCTGGAAAATTTGCCAAGCATACTCATTCAGTCCCAGTTTAGTCTGGCATATAATATAAAGGAGATGTGGTATAATGATTGCCAATAAGACAACTATCCACCAAAGTTCAAATGAAGTGGATGTAAGTATTTATAGGCACCTGTATAACCTCCAACAATAAGAAAAACACAGATGTGTGGTTATGACTTTAATGACTGATTAAAATGTAGAGCTGCTAAATACATTTCTATTTATAAATATATATATATATACTTTTAAAATTGAAACTTTCTTTTTTATGAATCTTATTTAATCAGAAAACAATTTTGCTTATAGCCTGCTGTTGTTAATCTGAAAGGTGATTTAGTTTGTGTGTATTATAAATACATAATATATGAAATATCTTAGGCCAAGTTTAAAATAATCTTTGTTTGCTGTTACTTGACTCGTTTATTGTTGTATAGATAGGAGTTGGATTATTTTATTTTGATTTTTAATATTGAAAATTTGAAGGAGATACCCAGAAAATAACAATCAAGGAACCATATCAAAAGGAAAACACAGCTCACAAAACACATCACAGAAAAGTAAAGTTTGAGTGGTAACTATATCAAAAGGAAAACACAGCTCACAAAACACATCAGAGAAAAGTAAAGTTTGAGTGATAACCATATCAAAAGGAAAATACAGCTCACAAAACACATCACAGAAAAGTAAAGTTTGAGAGATAACCATATCAAAAGGAAAATACAGCTCACAAAACACATCACAGAAAAGTAAAGTTTGAGTGATAACCATATCAAAAGGAAAATACAGCTCACAAAACACATCACAGAAAAGTAAAGTTTGAGTGGTAACTAAACCCGTATAAACCCAGAACTTTGGAAGGGTAACAAGTTTCAGCTTCACTAGTGGCATCTGTGGTGTTTTTAATGAAGTGTTTTTAGATAGCATATACAATGACTGATTGACAGAAAAAAGTGTTTTTGTTCCCTAAAATGATGTATTAATTTCACCTCCAAATTTGTAAATTCAGGCAAAATATGGGAATTAAAACAACATTAGTTACACGATCTATAAACAGGTTATATATTTCCTACAATTACAAACAAGCACACAGTATTAAGTGTCGGAAACTGCAGGAATACATATTTGTTATATTGAGTACATTTGCACTATTAACGAGGGCAAATTTGGTACACTACTTTTAAAAATAAATGAACTACATTTGGCAAAAGTGCAGTAAATTTGGTTTTTGTTATTGCAGAGATAATGCAATATAATTGCAAGTTTAAGTTATTGCACAGTACAAGAGACTACATCATTCATCAACACCCAACTCCTACAAAAAAACAACAATGAATAACACATGGTCCAGATAACCTGGCATTGTATGGGCAAATAATTAATAAACATAAATGGATGAAAATGAATTTATAAACATCTGCAAAATCTGATAAAAAAAATGTTTGAGGACACATTTTTCTCTCCAGTTATTTTTTAGTATACAGCAAACAAATTTTATCTTATGGAAGGCCTGATCGGTTTCTTATTAATTGTTTTGTTGATTATTTGTCAGCTTTTTATGAAAGCTAAACCTTAAACTGCTTTGCTTTTTTTATTTTCACAGACAATTTTAACCAAGATAATTCACATCTTTTATCATATTCTCTCTCTTTGCATGCTGATCTTTCTGAAACATTTATTTTTGAAAATTGTTCTTAAACATTCATTTCTAAAAAATTGAAACATGAATTGCCTTTGGTATCATATTAACACACATAAACAATTTTGCATGAACACTGTTATTACAGAGATGAAGAAAAGATGTTTGGGAATAAGTCTATGAGACAGCAACCCTATAACAAAAACATCCAAAAGTCATGCAGAGGTCAGCGTATGGTCAACAACAATAGACAAATAAATGTCTATACAATAATCCAATTAAGCTCTATTTATTTATATTCAGTTTATAAAATAAAATATGAATACAGCAAAGATTTTAAAATAATATATGTAATCCTGACAACTGATAAAACATGTATTTCATTCTTCAATTTATGTGGAATCGTCCTGAACATGCATGAAATATTTGCCACTGGACATTAAGAAAACATCCTTAATCAATCAACCAAATTACTGAGCACTGGAACCTTATAATGGGCACAAAGGGAGTTAATTAGGTGGGTTTTTTGTCTTCAGTTTAATATGATTATAAGGAACATTGGGTATATGTCAATGGAACTACAATCTAATGATATAAATAATCAAAGACATTTAGGTCAACTTAATATTTTCAACAATAGAAATGTCTTATTTGACAAAGAAAATTTCAGGACTGTATTATATTGTATACATTACTTATGCTGGTTACTTAATGTGACTCTTTCTCTTTTTTCAGGAAGAAGCTTGACAATGAAAGGTAATTACAATGCCTGTCATAGGTTTACTGAAAAAGTGTCATACATTATTATTCTACAATGCCTGTCATAGGTTTACTGATAAAAGTGTCATACAATTATTCTAAGATTCTAATTCCTGTCAGTCTCTTCAACCAAAGACCTGAACCAGAATGATACACTTTTATATCTTTTTGTTATTTTAAAAGAAATTTCAACCTGAAAAAAAGTCTTGATCATAGAAAACTGTAAAAATGAAGTAAAATGTTTCCGAGCATTAAATCCAGTTTATCTCAAAAAGTTCTTATTTTTTTCTGTCATATGAGACCACTTTACTTTGCTAGTTTGTTGGTGCAATCAGATTTGGGTAGGACTTGCTAGATTATAATTTCCTTCCTTATTTGAAGAAACTTCTAACCTAAGGTCATGATTATGGAAATAAAGGAAATGTTGGGTATATATATCAACGAGACAGCAACCCAACAAATACAAAATAACCTTAACTCTGCTAATCTGTGGTCCTTAACATGGCAACCTACTTTAAAATAGAGCGACTACTGAACAATTGTGAATGTTTATCACTATAACAACAAAGGGTCATTGCAATTTTTGTGGAGCCTGCGATTTTTGTCGCAGAAAGCTTGACATAGGGATAGTGATCCAGCGGCGGCAGGGGCGTTAACTAAATTCTTAAAAGCTTGATATTTCAGAAGGTAGAGGACCTGGATCCTTCATACTTTGTTTATAGATGCCTTATGATATGAAGTTTCCGTCTGTCATATGTCCATTGTCCTTGGCCTCATTTTCATGGTTCAGTGACTACTTGAAAAAAAAGTTAAGATTTTTTGTAAAGTTAATTTCTCTCTTATTATGAGTAATAGGATAACTATATTTGGTATGTGCGTACCTTGCAAGGTCCTCATGTCTGTCAGACATTTTTCACTTGACCTTGACTCATTTCATGGATCAGTGAACAAGGTTAAGTTTTTGTGGTCAAGTCCATATCTCGGATACTATAAGCAATAGGTCTACTATATTTGGTGTATGTAATGGTTGTAAGGTGTACATGTCCAACTGGCAGGTGTCATCTGACCTTGACCTCATTTTCATGGTTCAGTGGTAATAGTTTAGTTTTTGTGTTTTGGTCTGTTTTTTCTAATACTGTATGCAATAGGTCTACTATATTTAGTGTATGGAAATATTTTACGATGTACATGTCAGTCTGGCAGGTTTTATTTGACCTTGACCTCATTTTTACGTTTCATTGCTCAATGTTAAGTTTTTGTGTTTTGGTCTGTTTTTCTAATACTGTATGCAGTAGGTCAACTATATTTGGTGTATAGAAATATTTTACAATGTAAATGTCAGTCTGGCAGGTTTTTTTTATACGACTGCAAAATTTGCGGTTGTATATTGGTATGATGTTGGCGTCGTCGTCGTCCAAAGACACATAAGTTTTCGCACAATAACTTTAGTTTAAGTAAATGGATCTCTATGAAATTTTACCATAAGGTTCAATACCACAAAAGGAAGGTTGGGATTGATTTTGGGGGTTATGGTACCAACAGTTAAGGATTAGTGGCCAAAAAGGGGCCAAAAATAAGCAGTTTTGTAACTTCCAGACAATAACTTGTGTGTTAGTGTATGGATCTCTCTGACATTGTACCACAAGCTCCATATCACAAAGGGAATGCTGGGATTGATTTTGGGGGTAATTGCTTCAAAATTTTAGGAATTAGGGGCCAAAAAAGGGAAAAAAACAAGCCTTTTTCTAGTTTCATGACAATAACTTGTGTGTAAGTGTATGGATCTTTCTAAAATTGTACTACAAGGTTCCATATCACAAAGGGAAAGCTGGAATTGAGTTTGGGGGTAATTGCCCAAAACGTTTAAGAATAAGGGGCCAAAAATAAGCATTTTTCTAGTTTCCAGACAATAACTTGTGTTCAAGTGTATGGATCTCTCTGAAATTGTACTGCAAGGTACCATACCACAAAGGGAAGGCTTGGATTGATTTTGGGGGTAATTGCCTCAAAACTTTAGGAATTAGGGGCCAAAAAAGGGCAAAAAACAAGCATTTTTCTAGTTTCAGTACAATAACTTGTGTGTAAGTGTATGGATCTTTATGAAATTGTACTACAAGGTTCCATATCACAAAGGGAAAGCTGGGTTTGAGTTTGGGGGTAATTGCCCTAAATGTTTAGGAATTTGGGGCGGAAAAGGGGCCAAAAAACAAGCATTTTTCTAGTTTCAAGACAATAACTTATGTTCAAGTGTATGGATTTCTCTGAAATTGTACTGCAAGGTACCATACCACAAAGGGAAGGCTGGGATTGAGTTTGGGGGTGATGAATCATAAGGGGATTCAAAAATTTTGGGAAGAGGGGGATTTTTTTTCTATTTTAAGACTTTTATGATGTATTTAAATTGGTAATTATGGTTGCAAACTCCATTGGAAATTTGAATTGAGATTATGACCATATCTAGAGGGAAAAGTTTTTTTTTTGGAAAAGGGAGGGGGGCGAAATTAGAGGGAAAAAAGAATTTGTGGGGGCAATTTTTTTTTTTCATTTCAGATTTCAGAAATTAAAAAGAAAATTTCTTCAAATATTATTCCTTTTTGCAAAAAAAGGGCGGGGGGGGGGGGGGTCAATACGCAACAGCATAGTGTATTGCACGAAAGCAAGAAATTGAATATGAATTCAAATCATATAACCTATACATATTGTATCAAGCGCGAACATTGTGTCCATTTTTGCCACAACTGTTCAGGGTTGGACCTCTGCGGTTGTATCCAGCTGCCCTCAGCAAAGCATTTTATTTTACCTTGACCTCATTTTCATGAGTCATTGCTACATGTTAAGTTTTTGTGTTTTGATCTGTTTTTCTTAAACTGTATGCAGTAGGTCAACTTTATTTGGTGTATGGATATATTTTACGATGTACATGTCAGTCTGGCAGATTTTATTTGACCTTGACCTGATTTTCATGGTTCATTGCTTTTGTTCAGTTTTCCTGGTTAACTTTGTTTCTTAGATACTATAAGCAATAGGTCAACTATATTTGAAGCATGGAATGATTTTAGGGTGTACATGTCTGTCTGGCAGGGTTCATCTGACCTTGACTTCATTTTCATGGTTCATTGGTCAATATAAAATTTCCATGGTTTGGTCTTTCTTTTATACTATAAGCAATAGGTCATCTATATTCCGTGCAAGGCTTCCAAAACGGTCATATGTTCCGGACATTTGTATAATGTCCGGTAAAAGTCCGGCTGGGCAAAGCATGAAACGGTCATCTACTTTTTAGTTTTCAAGGCTTTCTTAAGAGACGGTCATTTTAACATAATTCGCGATCTTTTTGACCCAACCTTTTGCCTTTAACAGCCACACATTACCGGTCATAAAAGTGACATGATCATTAAGTACTATCAAAACAACCCCTATCTTAATACCTTCTCATTTTAATCAAGGCTAATTAGTTGTCGAACAGCTGAAATTTACCTGTTCAGGTGACAGGTAAACTATTTTTAAACCGGACATTGATCGGTGTATTCAAAGTTATTTTCTTACATTTCAGCGGCTTGCATCTGATTAATTTAGTCAAAAAGATTTAAATTATCAGAAATACGTTTACAAATATGATTTGATGAAAAAATTTAAAAGGTGAAAATGAAAAATCGTCATAACCATGTTGTTTGAACCAAAGTCATGTCTCTGTTTGAACTAGTACACGTGTGCACAGGTGTGAAATTTAATTATGCGTCCTAATTTCTTCAAAAATGCTTAAATTGTCATTGATACCTTTATCTCCGGTTTATTCCGAATATTTTCTTGAAGAAATTACGTAGAAAGAGCTACTTACACTCATTCATGCTTTGCAAACGTACACAGAATTTACGTATTCGTCTCTGGTCCATGTTTTACCATTGTCAAGATAACATCCGGTATTAGGTTGAAAAACGAAAGTAAAGTTTTTGACAACGTTATTTTGCACAAATAAAGAGTCTAAGGCAGATAGATATAAGTACGCTGATGTTGCACACTTCGAATGATGCACTGCCAATTTAGCAGTTTACGTCAGAACTGGAATCAAAGAAAGTTTAATATCTTTTTTTTTAAATGTCAATCATTGGGATGTCTAACTTGGCAACTGATTACCATAATTGTCTTTTGTTTATTTAGTCTTAAGGGATTAAAATCGACGTAATATAAAAAATGTCCAGCTGGCTAAAAATAATTTTGGAAGCCCTGATTCTGTGTATGGAATGATTGTATTAAAGGTGTGCATGTATTTCCACCTTGTTTTGTCCGACCGTGACCTCATTTTCTTGGATCATAAATGTTAATGTGATACTTGTAGTAAAACTCTATATGTAGGACTATCAACATAAAATCAATGGTCAGTATAGTAGGCGAGACATTTAGCGTGTGCACTCTTGTGCTATTATTAAGAAATGTTTGCAAGATGAATTATATTATTTTCATTATTCAATCATTTTCAGAGATTCTTTGATATCACAGTTACAGCAACAAATTTCTGATCTAACATTGTACTTAGAAGAGGAACGGCTGAACCATAAACAGACAAAACAAAGGGTATAGTTAACTCTCTGGTACTCCTCCCCTCTGTCACTCAGGAAAACATTTCAAGGGGATTGGTAGGTTCACAGTAGCCCAGGCTACCTAATTTTTGACTGGGCCCCTGAATTAGGCTTAACATGTCCAAAGTGATTATGTTAATCTTTCATACATAAAACAAATTTGGCAACAAATATCTTATCTTACATTGTACTGTAAAATGGGCTGATACTTTTAACTTAAACTTTGACCTGAATATTATATTGGGATATAGTTGTTATTTAGCAGTCATATATTTACCTTTTCTTATGCTTAGCTAAGGTCGATTAAAATTGTTGTTGTTGTTTTCTTTATTCTTTTAGTTGAGCCTTCGACTTTAGTCGAAAAAGCGAGACATAGCGATCCTACATTCCATCGGCGTCGTCGTTGTCGTAGGCGGCATCCACAAATATTCACTCTGTGGTTAAAGTTTTTGAAATTTTAATAACTTTCTTAAACTATCCTGGATTTCTACCAAACTTGGACAGAAGCTTGTTTATGATCATAAGATAGTATCCAGAAGTAAATTTTGTAAAAATAAAATTCAATTTTTTCCGTATTTTACTTATAAATCGACTTAGTTTTTCTGCCTGAAATATTATATTCACTCTGTGGTTAAAGTTTTTAAAATTTTAATAACTTTCTTAAACTATCCTGGGTTTCTACCAAACTTGGACAGAAGCTTGTTTATGATCATAAGATAGTATCCAGAAGTGAATTTTGTAAAAAAAAAAAACATTTTTTCCTTATTTTACTTTTAAATGGACTTAGATTTTCTGCCAGGAAACAACACATTCACTCTGTGGTTAAAGTTTTTAAATTTTAATAACTTTCTTATACTATTTTGGATTTGTACCAAACTTGGACAGAAGCTTGTTTATGATCAAATGCTAGTATCTAGAAGGAAATTTTGTTTTCTTCCAGTTAACATTACATTCAGTCTGCAGTTAAAGTTTTTAAACATTTATTAGATTCATAAACTATCCTGGATTTTTACCAAACTTGGACAGAAGCTTCTTACAATCAAAAGATAGTATCAAGAGGAATATTTTTATTGATTTACTTCCTCATTTTTGTTGAGCCTGTGATTAACAGAAAAAGTAGGCGAGACACTGGGTTCCGCGGAACCCTTACGAGTTTTTTTATTCTTATAAATATGAGGTGGAAAGTTATATTAAATCATTATTCTAACTGTTTTGTAGGCTGAAGAATTTTTGAGGGACCAGATTGATGAATTACACAAGCGACATAGAGAACAAACAAGGTTTGAAATCATCTTCTGCTTGTGCCTAGGTTCTACACATAATGCTTTCAAAACATTTCATTGACTCTTACATATCAAAATGAACCAAGTTTTTTAAAACAAGTTATGCCTATGGTGGTCTTGTGATAGCTTGTGCCTTTGAGTGCAGGAGGCTGTTGGTTTGATCCCTGACCTGGTTAAACCAAAGACGTTCAAATGGATATTAATTACTTCTGCTCTATGCACTGAGGCATTAATAGTAAGACCTGTTTGGCCCTGTGTCAGAATAATGTGTCCATGAAGGGTGATATGTCTTCGTGCTGTCTGTTACCTTGTGAACGAGTACTTAAATATCCAACTTTTCGTGTCAGTCTGGTACATAGCAGCATTCATATTCATAATTGTATCACATCAAAATGACCAAATGACGTAGAATTTAGCAACTTTTGGTCACGTTACAGCCCTTAACAATGAGAAAAAACATAACAGTTTATTATTTGTTTACTATTTTTGTAAAACAAATAATTTTGTATTGACATATTTTTTTTATCATTTCAGAGATTTAGAGGAAGATCATGAAGACGAGATGGATAAACTAAGAAACCAACTGGAAGCTGATAAAACTCAAATGCAAACTGCCAAAGATAAAGATATAGGTGCACTTTATTTCAATGGGATAGATAATTAATGAAATAAAATACAATGTAAACTGAATCTTTGTTGTAAGAAATTGGGAAGAAAATGTGATTTGCATAAAGATAAAGAAATAAGTAGATTTTATTGTAATAAGGGAGATAACTGTAGCTTAATGTTTAGATTTCCATTTTGTCCAGCATTCAACATTTTTGTGCAAATAGGGAGCTTATGCGATCCTAGATTCTGACGTCTCCCGTGTCAACATTTAGGTTCAATTGTGGATAAATTTTTTAAACATTAATAAACATTTTTAAACCTTTACACAATTTTATGAAATTTGCACAGAAGTTTTTTATGATAAAAAGATAGTATCCAGAGCAAAATTTTTAAAATATTTTTGTTATTTTTTGTTATTTAACTTTTAAATGGACTAAGTTTTTTTTACAGTAAGCATTTAAATACAGTTTACGGTTAAAGTTTTTTAGTCTCTTATAACTTTGTCAAACTTTTTTATGATTAAGAGATAACATCTGAAGCAAAATTTTGAAACTATATTTCTTTCATTTTTCAGTATTATACTGATGGATGGAATTAGTTCTTTTGGAGGTTAACAGACAGTCTGAGATTGTATTTTTTTAACATGATATATTTCTAAACCTTCATGGATTACTATGAAACTTTGACAGAAGCTAAACTTCAAGATCAAGAAATAGCATCAAAAGAAAAAGTTATATTTAATTTTATTCTGTATTTTATTATTAAATGGACTTACTTTTTTTTCAGCCAACATTACACTCTAACACTGACAGATGCAATCGCAGGCAAGACACTGGGTTCTTCGGCACCCTTTACAATTTGTTTTTTGTTATACTGCAAGCCGGCAAGACTTATCTCTATTTTGACAACTGAATAAAATCATATTGATTAAAATTGATTTTTTTATTTCCAGAAAAAATGAGAAAAGAAATAGAATTTTTGCAGGGTTCATTTGCCTCATATAAAACCACTGTCCATCTTGACCAGGATGAGAAATGGAAAAAACGTGAACATGACATGACCATGTTAATGGAGGAAAATAAACAGACAGCAATGCATGAACTAAGTAAGAATACTTTTATACTCCAACTACTAGAGTGGGGGTGAAATTCCAATCATGTCTGTCCATTTGTACGTCTGTTCACAGTTCTTCAAACATATTTTTATTATACTTTTCTCAAGCACTACTGAACAGAATGACTTCATATTTAGTATGCAGAGATGATTTGTAATTTGTGATCACTTTCAGATCTGTCAGACACCTACTTCCTGTATGCTGAATTGCTGATATTTTGATTTTTTGGATATGTTGAGTGGACTTAACACTTATCAATTACTCATCTACAGGTTAAAAGTGATGACTTGAGATGTGTTTACCAATACTTTGATTACTGATGGGATATGCTAAGCCAGCAACATGTGCAACTTGTTTCTTCTGTGTCACAGAGAATCGATAGTTTGTCATGGGACTCTGAAGTTCCATGCCAAATCTTGGTCACTCTGACTAATATTTTCTAAAAAATTAAATCCTTAACACTTTTTCCTCCTAATTTCATGTGGATTTCTAATATTCAACTTAATGCTGTAAACTTTGATTTTTTTTAAGATTCTATGATGTTTTGGTAAATTATTAAATTTTAAGTGCCTACTTTAAAATAAATGTTATGATATTTGTTTTAAATAGCTATTCATGTCATTTTGTGTTTACAGGAACAAAGTTTATACAAGAGAAAAATTCTGAAAGAATAACTGTACAGAAAGACCATCAGAAAAATATAGACAATCTACGCAAAGATCATAAAAAAGAACTTGATGTATGTAACATAATTTATTATCATAAGACAAAAATTATCAATCTGTCACAAAATCAGTAATTACTCAGAAATCTTAAGTATGAAATATGAAAAAGCTGTTTTCTCTTAGATAATAAGATACAAAATTTTTCACTTGTAAAAGATGCCGATTAAAGTATAGAAATTGTCTGATATACATAAGCACCAGTGGATGACTCCAATCAGATTTCAAGTTCAAAGGTCAAATACTATAATTAGACATTATATTGGTTATTCATTTTTTCCACCAAAAATTCACCTTTTTTGCATTCACTCCCCCCTCCCACTATGACCCCAAATGATGTTTGGTTTTTATCTGCTTGACAAAGTATTATTAAAATATGAGACAAAGATTTACCACAAAAAATTTGTATTGGCAATTTCCATGTAATCTTCATGGACTGTGTTTAGTTGTCCAAAGACTCCAACAAATTTCCAACAATGCTGTCAGTCCTCTGAGCAATCTCAGAATAAATTTAGTTAACATCAAGAAAATGGGGGACTCTGATATCAATTTTCAAATTAGAACTTACATCGGAAACTGGCTAAGATTATATACTAGAATTCTCCCATTAAATCAGTTTGATTTTGACTTTTGAGTTTGAATACCCCTTTGCAGGCTTTGGTATCTTCCGCCTCTCTTTTTAAAAAAGATAGGCTCTGGGAATGTCCTACTTTTAGACACATAGGTATAATATAATAATTTTAGATACATATCTTTGCAGGCACTAGTCAGACGATTTTCTAATGTTGCTGCTGATCTTGAAAGGTTAAAGAGAACAACAGCAGAGTTGAAAGTAAGTTTTCAACCAAGTTTTTAAAAAATTGGTCAGAAAAATGAAGTAATATTTACAATAAGAATAAAAGTTGATAAGCGGTAAAGGTCAATGAATCAACTATCCAACGTAATAAAAAGACCAGAAAAATCTATAGGTCAATACTATACAGGCCATCAACACCAAATCCATAAATAACAATAGGATATAAGGTATAAAGTTAAGCACTGAACAGGTTGATGACTTATGACATGCAGTGTTCTCCCCAGGCCGTTTTAGCGTCGTGACACCGAGACGCTATATTTTTTTCCCGTGATGCTATAGTAATTTCCACGACGCGATAATTATTTTGAGGATGCTATTTTTCTTGTCTCTATATCGCAAAACCATGTCCTAAATTTTGAACTTTCATCTAATTACCGCTTGTGATCATCAAAATTATATCACCTTTAATTGTAATCCCTTCAAGTCGGACAATAGAGGCAATTTAGAGTGATTAAATAGGTGTTAATTGTCCTTTGGGTGATAACTGAATGGATACGAATACCCCAAGCTGAAAACTTGTGACATGACTAATACCACGTGGTCCAATCGCAAATTTCGACATGGAGAAAATGTAATCAGAAAATCGAAAAACAATTCGAAATCTACGTTTGCATAATCCAAATTCAAAGATACAAACTCTTTCTCTCTTTAGAAAAGAGGTAAGGTCGTATATTTTTACAACTTTTAAAAAATTGCTTTCTTTCATTTCCGGTACTTCTAGTTTATCGAGAGCGTATATTAAACATTTTGATTTTGAGTTAAATAAGTTTGATACTTCTTTGGAAAGAGATCATAATTGGCTTTAGTTAATGTTTCATCCATTTAATGCATTAAAAGCATCATACTCATTCCCAATCTCTTGTCAAACATTGTTTATTTTTGTAAATTTTTCTTCCGCTGCCGTTGAAATATTTTTGTAAACTACGGATAGGAACCGGACCAGATATGACAAAATTCCGCATTTTTACGATAATAACTACAGATGCACAAATGGCACAGTAGACGAAAAATTATCACAAAAGAGAAAACTACGCATTCCACACGCATTAACAGACTATTTATTAGATATCTTTGCTAAATGTATTCTTTTTGAAAATACATCGTTTTAATATACTGACTAAAGTAGCTTACCTTTGTTTAAAATATATATCATTTTGATATAAAGAAACAACTGGGACTAATTCATTGAGTACCATGAAACAATGAATTTCATAGACATGATAAAGAAAAAAGTTTTTTAATTGAAATTTTATTGCTATATGATACTTTCTCTTCCCTTTTATATAAAAACCAGTTCTTTTTTTTTTTACTAGATATTTAGTATTGTATATATACAGGTTGTAATATAATAAACCATTCATTCATTCATTCATTTAGTTAAGAAGGTAGGGTAACTGAAACCACACATATATTTTTATTTGGCCCAAGAGGAAAAAAATAATTCTGTAACCATAAATGAATATAGAAAACATAAACTGAAACAACTGTTATCATGGTTAAAGTTTAATTGTATTCCCAGCTATGAATTGAACAATATAAACATATATAACGTAAAGGAAATAGAGCATCGCCGCGACGCGTCAAATGACATTGAAAAAAAGAGTTTATTTTTTTACGCCAAATGTGATGCTATCCAAAATTTCTGAAGAGGACACTAACATGTGGTTGGACCTAATATTTTGAAGGATCAGTATTTCTTTTTTTTGGATAAAATTCTGAAATTGAACCAGATTCTTTGACTCATTTATGATAAGATTCATATTAAAAGACACTGTACAGATATTCATTATGAAAAAAAGGAGGTGTGATATGATTGCCAAGGAGACAACTATCCACCAGAGTTCAAATGAAGTGGATGTAAGCAATTATAGGCAACCAAATAGCCTTCAACAATGAGAAAAACCCAAACAATATAATTGACTATAAAAGGCCTTGACATGAAAAATGTGAAACAATTCAAACAAGAAAACCAACAGCCTAATTTATAACAAAACCGTTACGAAAAAAACAAATATGACAGACATGAACTAACGACAACCACTGAACTACAGGATCCTGACATTGTATATTTATATGAAATGTACATGCAGTTTGTTAAGTCATGGTTGAACATTATCTATTTTTGCAATCTTGTAATATCTCAATTTTGTTTAAAACATTTTATTTATTCACATACATCTTTTTTTTATGACATCATATATGTAGCCCGAACCTTGTGAAACATATAAATACAAAATATCAGAATTTTATTAACAAACTGTTGATTATAAAGTTAATTTTTCATTTTTCATTTTATTCAGGAAGTAAAAAGTGAATTGGAAGAAGTTAAGAACAGTTATAATGAGACATGTAAATTATTAGCAACAACAACTAGAGATTTAGCTGATACAGTAAGTTATTACATATGGCTATTTAAAGATACGATATATATATATATATATATATATATAAATAGAGAGGTGGGAGGCTCCAAAGGGACAATCTAAAATCATCAGTTGAAGAAAAACCAACAATGACATTGCAAAAAAACAACTGAAACAAACAACAGTCTACAAAATGCTAGGTAGAAAACTAAAGACCAAGCAACACAAACCAGATGCTCAGGAAATGTAAGGTTATCCTGCTCTACATGTGGCAGGAAACGAGGTATGAAGATGAGGATTTAGTATGTAAGATTTTTATCACACCTCTGGAGTTCATGCAATTCCCTCAGTTTTTTGCTTGTTACCGTTATTTTTGTTCTTAATCGATTTACTGTGGATTCATGTATTTTCTTGATTACCCATTTTATGACTTGAGAAATATTGTATTTTCCTGGATATTTGATTACATGGTTTTGCCAAGTCTGCATATAATTTGTTAAACATTTAAATTCGTGGTTCAGTTATAGACAGAAAATCCATGAAGATTTGTATCCCACTAATAATAATGAATTAACAGTATGAGATTTAAACATTAGTTAACTACTTCATGTATAATTATCTACAAGGGTGAGAATCAACTACTTTTTATCCTTATATTCTTTATGTCTAGTCTTGTTCACCATAATAAACTTTCTTATTTCACATCTGTGTACTATATGCATTTAGATGGACAGATAAATATTCATGAAGGGTAAATTTTACAGTAAAATACCTATCACAAACATAGCAAAATTTTCACAATTTATTACGAATAGTAAAAGAACAAAACAATTACAAAGATGATACAGCATAAAGGATGGCCTTTGAATGTCTGACTTCTGGATTTGGACTGACACGCTTATAGGTGGCGGTGTTTTCAGGTGTTCATTCTCTCTTTATTATGGATTTGTTTTATGGATTGATTGTAATTTTATCATTGCCTCTTTTGAATCTTCTAGCTTGTTGTTAGTTTTGTTAAAATGTTTATCTTATTTTCTTAAATTTCTGATTCTTATCTGACAGTGATTTTTTTGAAAACTGAAAAACTAAATAGGGAAAGTTGACATAAATTACTTTTGTATTAGGAAAAAGAAAATAACAACAAAATATTTCAATCAGGAAATCAGATAAAATACCCTAAATCTTAGTAAAAGTTAAGTATCCTGTTATTAAAAGTTTCAATATATATACTTCTTATCCACAATAATCGAAACTGAACCTTTTTTATATTTTCTATTTCAGAAAGTTAAACTAATGTCTTTTGAAGAACAGTTTGAAGAAAAAGTTCAACAAGTCGATGGCAAATATAAAGATCAAATCAATAATCTGATGACTAAAAATGTTGAGTTACGGTAGGTAATACTTGGGACTATACCAATAGATAAAATTATCAGCAATTTGTACATTTTCCCTTTGTTCATACTGCCTTATATTTTTTTGATCATTGACAGGAAAAAGTATCAGGAAATTGCATCACATATCAGTGCACCAAAGGCACATGGTCATGTCTATCAACCTTAATTTATCGATATCAGGTCGTACTGGCCCCTAACCAATCCTGCCCAAGTCAATCCTGCCCCAAACTGATTATGCCTAAATCATTCCAGCCCCAAGTTGATCCAGCCCATAATAAAATAGTGAATAATTACTATAAATGTGGGCCGGATCAACTTGGGCCATGGCGACTTTGGCTGGATCTACTTAGGGCTGGATTCACACAAAAGCAGTTTTCATTCAGACAACAGAAGTTTTGAATAACTATCAAAATGTTCTGTACTTTTGTATGTGTACTAATTATTGAAATTTAAGGTAGGTAATCAGATCAATAACAAATGACTAAAAGACAACACTGACCAACTACCATGACGCTTAGAAAATGATTTCTAGAGAAGTTCTAACAGCATGTTATCAGGTTTATACTTATTTATTCAGGGACTAGATTGAGGGAATGATTACATGGTGCATAGTGAGAGTATACAGTCATCTGAAAAAACATTTTACTTAAATAGACAAAAAATTTACAAAAATTAAACTTACAATAAAAGTATGATAAGGCCATCTTTTTGGCCCCTTGAAATCATGAATTTGAAAAATTATGATAAATCTATCATATAAAATCCTTCTGATGACCATAAGACATTAGTCATGGTCATTTAAGGTCATATGTCAATTTCAACATGTTCATGCCTTCATCACACCTGACCTTTCTGCACTGAAGTGGGCAGATTATGTATCAATAAAATTTACATAACTTTGAAAGGCTTGAGTAATTTGGTATTTTTTTCAATTCCAGGGGCCACATAATGTGAACAGTTTTATAGTATAGGTTACACCATTACAATTTTGTTTTTACACAAAAGAGGTAGCTGTTTATGTATAATTGTTTTACAGGAGATTATATGTTAAGAAATGTGGAGAATTGTACGATGAGAAAGTATCAGCTGATGAGGAGAGAGTTGTCCGAGTGTCGTCTGCTAAAGAAGTCATGCATGTAAGTAAAGTCTAGGTATTACTGTGATTTCATTTTTTTTTTTGGGTACCAATTTTCTTGGATAGAGGAAAAATTGTATTATCGTTGATATTTGATATTGTAAACAAGCCTATGGAAAATTTACACTTCATTGAACATTTGAATTTGAGGTTTCCCTATATCCATGAAATCAACAAAAATTATTACCCAACGAATAATAATGAATCAAAAGTAAAGGTTTTATTATAAATGCATTATTATCTTAAAAAACAAGAGAGATTTATAAATTATATGAAATAAGCAATTGTCTCCCTTGGTATAATATTGATTTTAAACAATGTTTGAATAAAAGTAAATTTTGAGTACATTGATAATACAGGAAACCAAATACACAAAAAAAGTACACAAGACATCTAGCAGTCAATATCTAGTTTTGAAACCAGGTAATGTCCTGTGTTTCAATATTGTCATAATATGTTGTTATTTCATTACCTATTTAAATATTCCCAATTTTGTACTTTACCATGAGCAAATATAAGGGTGTCACATATGGAGCAGGATCTGTTTACCAAATATCACACACAGTTTTTGATTGGGTTTATGTTGCTTAGTCCAGTCATCTATGTACAGTTTTGTAGAATCTAGTTTTCTGTTTGTTTTTTGTTCTTATTTTTTTTCATGGTGGTGTGGGTTTCTCTTTGGCTTATGAATTTTGACTGTCCCTTTGGTATCGTCTGCCTCTTTTGATTTTGAAATACTGTGAATATAACATTATGTCTATATCTTACTTTTGAACTTTTTGCAGAGCATGTTAAAATCTAAGCACAAAGCTGATGTCAGTTTCACCCCCGGAGAAATTCTGACGCCAGAAGAAAAATCTATAAAAACGTTAAAATATAGACGTTCTAGTGCACCAATAACTCAGGAAGAAGCAGAACTTGCATATCAAGGGTCTGGGAAACTTGAAAATTTTGTTGATGATGAGGACGATTTTATTCTTGCTGATCCCATAATTCCAGAGTCAAGACAGGAAATAGAAGAAATGAGAAAGGAATTGTTGGGAGAAATTGAACAGACAGTATTAGATGAAAATGAAGAAGACGACTTATTTTAGCAAAGTTTTAAATATTTGTTTATTGAATAGAATGAAGTTTTTTCTGTCATGTTTATAGGAGTCTCTTGAAGGGCTTTGTTTGTTATTTGAAAAAAATGTAAGCAATTTAATTACTTCAGAATACAGCATCTTTCTATTAAATCTAGATTAGATTTTTCAAAGATATGTTCCTATGCCAATGGAGTTTACAAAGAATACAGCAACTGAGAATTAGTTTTATTTTTGTAATCATTGGCTTCCAACAGTCAAGCGATTTTGGTAAATGATTTGCAATTTGTGTTGTTTGACATTGTTGGTTTGAGAATTTTATAAACTCTTGAACAAGTGGTTCAAAACTTTGTCTGTTTTTTATGGCATTTGGGATAAATCTTCAGAGTTTCTAGATGAAATATTATTCTTTACAAATTAGGCATATTTCTCTCTATTTAGATAGGTTATGCATCAAATGATATTTTCTTTATGCCTAATATTTTTACATTTGAATTCGCTTATAGTTCTGATTTATGTTGTTAATGAGCAAATTTCTAAATAGTGTCTTTAGTTAATAATTCAAAAAAAGTGTACCTACAGTCATGACAGCTGATTTAGTGAGTCATGATAGTTGCCTTAGTAACTGTTGTGGCAGTTACTAGGAAAACATTTTGTAACGTTTACAAGTAGAATTCTAATTTAACATTCATGTTCCATTTTTTTTATAGATCTTATTTAAGGCATCAGTTTTACATAGAAATTTTTGCATTATGAATTTATTGTACTTCAACTGTGATAATTTTAGACAATTTTATTTTTATATGTCATTTTATGTCTAAATATAAAAAGAATATAAAACTTATTTTTGTTGATTTTTAATTGAAAAAAATGTTAACTGAAGAACCGACCTCCAAGGTATACTGAAAAAAGAGGGATTCATCTATATAAACTGTCAAAATTAAATGTTGGACTTTATCAACCATCAGAACAAATTATTCCGACAAAGATGCCAACAAAAATTTGTTGTAGTTGATAGTACATACAGTGTATAGTATATACTTTCTCTGTAATTAGTACAAGTTAAATAAATATGAATAAAAAGGTAAAGGAAATGAAAACAACACTGTAAAAACCTCATGTGTTTGAATTGTACCTCTGGATCCACACCAGGAACGCCCAAAGCCAAAAACCTAATAGCTAGATGTTTGTAAATACTGAGTTATGTCAAGAGTCATAATATCAAAAGGAACATCATAGCACAAACACTTATAAAAGCAAAACTAAAAAGATACACATCTTCAGCACCTAGAATTTATAACTTAATATAAAAATTAAGAAGATCTAACACCACACATTACATGCACTCTGTCTTAAATTTAGCTAAACAATGTTTGACATTCACATTTCTAGTAGCTTATTTTTTTACATTTCCTCAGTGCGATTTGAACCCATACGTTTTAGCATCGTGTCACTTATGCCTACGCTGTTTCAAGCGCCGTAGACCACTTGTCCAACTAGGTTTCATTTCCCCATACCGCATAGTCAGCTATAAATAAGTTCATCTTGCATTGTTTAAGAAGAAGACACTGATTTTATATCTATTAGATCATGTTACTTTCCAATGAACTTGCTGAGAGAAAAAGAACAAGATTTTCTTGGACAAAATCCTTGCTCACTAATTTTGTGCTCCAACATCAATAATGTTTTACAAAGTCTAGTTGCAGCTGAAAGTTCTTGAATTTTGTATGAGTTGAGAAATGTATACTTCATATGCAATGAAGTTGGTATATGCTGCTATGGTGAGGAAAATATATAATTTATAAATATGACAGTTGTTATCCATTCGTTTGATGTGTTTGAGCTTTTAATTTTGCCATTTGATAAGGGACTTTCCGATTTGAATTTTCCTTGGAGTTTGGTATTTTTATTATTTTACTCTTTTTTTCAAAATCGTCTTTTTTCGTCATCAATTCTGTGACTGAGATGACCGCTGTAGTCAAGTTTGGTGTATATGTCTAGAAATTTCCACCTAAGGCAGCCAACAATCAATCAATCTACAAATAAGGCACAGAAAGTAGCATCTGAGGTTTAATCTCTAGAGCAGGATGATATATATTAATGGAACAATTGGTCAATGTTTAGTTCTGGTAATTAGGTATGTTTCTCAGATGCTACAAGCCATTGGCGAACTATATTTGGTGTAAGGTTTGATTCTAATGTGTACATGTCTGTCCTTTAACCTTGTCTTTAGTAAAACCTTCATATCACAGACTTTCATATTAAATCATGATAAGTGAAGCCGGTCAGACATTTCAGCCTGTGTACTCTTGTTTTGTCTTTAAATCAGTTTTCTAAAATTGTACCAAAGTTGGTCAAATGATGACTTATTTTCGTTTAGAATTTGAAAAACTGGAGGCTCCTGAACTTCTGTGATCATGTTTCCCCTGGCATATTTACTATTACATGTATTACGGCTTTAGTTTTAGAGAAATAAGCCAAACACTGCATTTTACTTCTACATTCTATTTTTAGCAATGACTGTTGATGGTTCAAATCACTGGATACTTAAGAGATAACGGTATTGTATTTGAAGCTTTGCGGACGTCCATCGGTAGTTTTACTGTCGCAAATTGAGTTTACCTGGCGACGCGTAGCGGAGACAGGTAAACGGATATTTGCGACAGTAAAACTACCGATGGACGTCCGCAAAGCTTCAAATACAATACAGTTATCTCTATTCTAATGCAAAATAAACAAATCGTTGAATTTAAGTCATTATTTCAGTGTAAAATTTTCATTAAACAAAAATTCCGCGAAATAATGTTATCTTCTTTGGCCCTTAAACTATGTGACGTCATAGGTAAGCTTCCGGCATCAAACGTAAACACCGGACGTTTTCTGGCTTCTTGTCCGCTTCAGAATGGAATAAAATTTGATAAAAAGAAAATTTGTAGGTGCAAAATGTAAGTTTTTTTGCTTATTATTGGAGAAATTACATGTCAATACATTCCGGAATTCAAAATGTCGGCTTCCTTAGTTACAGACAAGGAGATAGAGAATTGTACGCTTACTGTCATCCAATCAGAACCATTGATACAAAATAATTGCATAAGAATTTTTGTTTCACTAGATATCTAGGAACATTCAAGCATAGTTTGGTAATACTTTGCTTAGTTGTTTCAGAGAGAACTGAAAAATTTAAGATTATTATGATGAATGTCAAATGCAAATTTATAACAAAAGTTATAGTGTACTTTTAGGCCAGGTAAAATAAAATTGCAGTAAGAAAATAAGAAGCTTACTAAAAATCTTGTAACTGGACAAGTATTAGCTTTTATAAAAGCTTTGAATTTGAACAGAAAATCAGTAGGATATTTAAAAAGTTGTTATTTGGCAATATTAGTTTATTAGTCCCCTACCGACGAAGTCGAAGGGGACTTTAGGTTTGCACTCCGTCCTTCTGTCTGTCTGTCCTTCTGTCAGTCCGGCAAATCAGTTTTCCACACTTTTTTACTTCATGCTTGAAGATATTGATTTTATATTTGGTATATTGTTATATCATAACAAGTTACAGATTAAGTTCGAATTTTGATCCGGTCTGATAATATTCAGTTTTCTGCACTTTTTTTCGTCATTCTTGAAGATATTGATTTAATAATTGGTACATTGTTTTATCATGACAAGTTACAGACCAAGTTTGAATTTCGTTTCTGTTTGATGATTTTTTGCAGAGTTATGGTCCTTGGACATAGAAAATTCACTTCAATTATCAGTTTTCCGCACTTTTTTTCATCATGCTTGAAGATATTGACTTGATATTTGTTGTATAGTTTACACCATGACAAGTTATATATCAAGTTAGCATTTTGTTCCAGTACAATTAATTTTTAACCGGTAGGGGACTATGTATTGCCATGCAATACTCTCAGAATGCTTGTTTCTGAATAAGAAAGGCGAGGGATAGTAAAAAGACAGTCAAACAAAATGATAATTCTGTGGACAAAAATAAATAGACCAAAAGACATACATCAGCACACAAAACATGTACAACATAGAAAACTGATGACTGAGCAACACAAACTCCACCAAAAACCGGGTTATAGTAGGTGCTCACAGATCCTGCTACACATATGGCACCTGTGATGTTGTTCATATAAGTACAAACCCGGTAATAAGTCTATTTTATAAAGGAATAGGTAAAAGTTTTTTCTATTTCTACAGAGCTTATAAAACGAAAGATGTGATATGATTGCCAATGAGACATTTTCTATCAGAGATTAAATGATGTAGGAGCTAACTATAGGTCATAGTATGGCCTTCGACAATGTGCAAAACCCATAACGCATAGTTATAAAAGAAACGAAATGACAAATGTAAAATATATCTAAAAGATATAATGTATATACAAAGAATAAACAAATACAAATGTGTTATACCGTAACAATCGAACAACCACTGAATTACAGGCTCCTGACTTGGACAGTTACTTATAGAATGTGGCTGGTTTAACTTGAGACATGTTTGCTAGCGCCAACCTCCCCTACCTGGGTCAGTGGTGTTACAGTATAACATAAGAAAAAACTATATAAAAAAAGTTGAAAAGGGCTTAATAAAGGCAACAGTAGCAGTGCCGGATTTACCGGGTGGCACAGGGGGCACATGCCCCACCCCTCCCCACCCCCCCCCCCCCCAGTCCAGGTTACAGAAAAAAGTTTCTAACATACCAAATCTGCTTATCTTTAACAGGTGAATTCTTTTGATCAGGAAAGAAATAACTAATCAAAATCTGTATTTTAAAAAAATATGTACAAATAAATGTTTAGTGCCAAGAATGTTAGTATCGATATATGGGATATCTGGGGCGGATCCAGCCAATTATAAAAGGGGGGGGGTCCTAACCCAGGATAAAGGGGGGGGGGGGGGTTCAACTATATGTCCCCATTCAAATGCATTGATCGTATCATATTATAATTTTTGTGGGTTTTTTTTTTTTCTTCAAAACTGTCTTTTTTGTGACTTTATTCAACAACAATCTTTATTTTCAAACAAGATTTTTTTTTAAACTGAATGTAGTATTTTCTTTTCATTCCTATTTTCAAAGGAAACCAACAATTTGTTTTTAATCAAAGAGCTGAAAGCTCTGAGGAAAAATGACGCCACTGTCTCTAATATTGTGATATTTTTTATGCAAGTCTTGATTTTCACATACCGTAATTAGTTTAACATTCCAACATGTCTCGTAAGCATATAATTGATATTCGTATATGTGTGTGTTATGTGAAGATGACAACTGGCTGTTTTTTTAGTACAAATGTATAGGTCAAGACTACCTGAATGATCTACAGTATCCAATGACTACTGGCTGTTTTTTTCTATAAATAAATAGGTCAAGACTACCAGAATGATCTACAATATCCAATGACTACTGGCTGTTCTTTTGTACTAATAAATAGGTCAAGACTATTTGAATGATCTACAATATCCAATGACTACTGGCTGTTCTTTTGTACATATAAATAAAGACTACCTGAATGATCTAAAGTATTCTAAGTAATGTGATTTTTGTCTTACAATTACATTTTTCTAAATCAAGAATATAGACTACTAGCATCCTTTTCAAACCAAATGATTATGAAGAGCCTGTTGTTATCAAGCTCTTATACCCCACATACTCATTAAATAAGTTACTAGTGACCTAGTTATTTCTGTTACTTGAAGCAAATTATATTTCTGTAGATTTAGACAATAGTATAATATTGTTTTACTAGTTTTATTTCACCTTGAAGATTAGACAAATAGGGATACTCCTTTGATTTTTTATTTCATGTCAGTCAGGTCGCTTTATATGAAACTTGAAACCAC